TTTGTCTCTCTTTCCCATTAGACTTACTCCTTCCTTCTGGACAACAGAAGACAGTCATTAAACAGGTGAAGGTACACAGGCCGAGTGGTAAGTTTAAACTTAGACCCAGAAATATTCAAGTTCTGTGTGTCGACTTCTAGCAGTTCACCATGTTTGACCAGCCAGCGAGACTGAGAGATGAGAGGAAAAATCTAAAATGAAACAAAAAAAACACAAACTGACAAGCCAGTAATATGAAAACATGATGCCAGAAGTGTCATGCTCAATCAAACTGATTTTTGCACATTTTGAAGAGAATTTTGAATGCAACTTCCAAAACCAATTATTTATTTTGTACTGTATACTTGATAATTATTGTAAGTAAAGTCTTTGATTAAATTTAAATGCAACTTTCAGTTAATAAAACTTTACTTTTGGAAAGAACTAAGTAGTCAAAAAAATAAATAATTGTGAATGGCACAAAATGAGCCAGGGCTGCCACTGGCAACTCAATAATAATAATAATAATATATATATATAAAAAAATTGGTTTCAGATGCCCCTGCATGATATATAATACATATCTAATTAAACATTAAAATGAATGCCCAATGTTATACCTTGCCCTCAAAGTGAATTTTCTTGTTTAGATGAATTAGTTCTTCCATCCTCTTCATGGACTGCACACTGGAGTTACATTCCTTTATAATCTAGTGAAACAGAGCAGATTTAGTTTTAATTTTCATATTCTTCTAAAACCTGGTCCTCTCTTACTTTACTCACCTTTTTAAGCTCATTAAGTGCTTTGGTGGCAGTGTCCTCATCTCGTGATCCAGGCGTTGTTCTCTTTAGGATATTCTATAATGGACACAAATTCATTACCACAAGATAATTTAATTTAATTTTGTAAGCTTTGTTCTAAAGCTTGATGATAATTTTCAACTTTTAATATAGCTTCGGAAAATAGAAAAAATGGAATCTGTGCCCTCTATCACTGTCACTTTTAGAAGAGCATGGTGGAATACCTCCACTAGCATTTTGAGGCGTGTGATCCTTTGAAAAGGAAGGATAAGGAATGATGTAAGAGGCAGCCTCTGGCACACTGGGTCCTCTTCCAGGCGGGCAAGGATTCCAGGGAAACGGGGATTCTCTTGCCTAACAACACACAATAAAGCAAACGAATAAACCTCTTTAATGGCAATAATGCAATATGCAACACACACATTGTTATGCTTGTTAGAAGACTGTTTACAGTAGCCGCTGATAGGTCTGTTCCTGATAGGCTTGATTGGTGACATAAGGCAGATAAACCCGCCGCAGTGCAGGACAGTGGTCAAGGACAATGTCACACACATCAAAACGCAGAATGTCCCCTTCTAACCTATGCTCCAAATCTTGAAGAAATCTGTGGACATGAGGAGAATTGAATGGGAGAGAGAAAAAAAACAGGGATAGTTTACATCTCTGATGAAGGCTAACTCTTTCAAAAACAGCAAAAATTTTCATTATTCACCTCTCACTGACTTCTTTCACATCAGGCAGTTTAGAGAAAAGCCACTGCCTCTCCTGTGTCCCAAGACACTCACACAGCTCAGGAGACATCATAAAATGGTCAACTACAATAGACAAGCTGCGTATGTATGAGGCCTCCGACGTCACCAACTCAAACTTGGCCTGGAATGAGAAAACATTAGCTTTTTTCTCAGCAAAATGTGCTGGTTGATTTAAAAAAAAAAAAAAAACAGACTTTCTGAATGTGGAGTCACCTCCTGCAGTTTACGCTCTTCATTGCTGAAGTTGTCAAGTTGTCCACTGGACCGAACATCAGGAATATCCTGCCAAAGGGAAAAGGCGGAGCCTCGAGATGAGCAGAATGAACTGGATGGGGACAGGTTGCAAGAGGACACAGAGTCTCCTCTTTCTTCATCAGTTCCTGGCTCCGCCCCTTGCTGCCTCTGTATCTCTCTGTTAATAGCAACATCACTGTATTCCTGATACAAAATCACTGAGAGAGAGAGGAAGAGAAAACTGGTAAATAATACTATACTATCTATATATATATACAGTGGGGAAAAAAAGTATTTAGTCAGCCACCAATTGTGCAAGTTCTCCCACTTAAAAAGATGAGAGAGGCCTGTAATTTAAATTCCAGATTTGTTGTTTATTGGACTTACAGTTCGGCAAGAAGCGTGATAGGCGTTTAGAGCTACTGGGAGGACTGTCTCCATCCTCATCAATGGAAACCTTTCTCATACTGTGAAAAAATGGTACAAATGTTAAATGTTAAAACATAATGTATTATATTCTACTCACTACTTTTGTTCTCTATCTAGTTTTAGAGCCACCGTTGCTTGGAACTCCTCTTTTGCTGTGGCAGATTACAGTCAGCAGAGGGCAGAGGTGGTGCAGACCCCACTGGACTATGTGGTGCACTGTCACCTGAGAAGCGATGTCTGGAGTTGGGTTTGTCTACAAACAGACAAGGGAGGGAGAAGGTATACAAAAGGAATAGAGCTGAAAATATAACACTGAAGTGTGATCATGACATCACAGCACAAGACTTTCACAATAAAGTCTTTTATTAGTCAAAACAGTCCAGATGAGTCACTTACAGTCTGAGCTGAGGTTTCCAGACAGGTGGCGGTCCCGGGAGGCCACACGAGCAGAAAGAGACTTGCCCAGCTTAAGGGTAAAAGAGTTTTTCCTCTGGGAGAGTTGTAGACGAGAGATGAGCTCAGAGGCAGAGAAGCGCCGGCGCTCGTCTGCTGAGCGAGAACGGGACAGAGGCAGTGAGGTCCCACTGTTAAGGGCAGGGCCTTCCAGAGAACCACAGTCCTCCAAGCCCAACCTCTGCCTCCCCCCATCATTTATGCCCCCCTCCGATCTGGCATCCTCCTGAGGGGGGTCTAAGAAAGGTTTTGGAGGCATTGGTATGGTAAGAAGAGAGAGGTCCTCATCTACCCCTGGGAGAGAGCTGGAACTATGGGATGTGGGTATGGTAGAACCCACCATACCAAGGCCTCCTTCTACGAATGATTCGAAGGATGTTGGAAGCAGGTAATCACACTCCACACCTGGGCTGCTGAGAGACTCATCACTCAGAGTGTCTGGAGAGTACACCCTCATCTTGCGCCCTATTAACGACAAGGCATATTATTGAGTGGAACTATCCACTTGTACATTCATCTCTAGTTTTAACACAATCACTTTAGCACAGTAGTACAAGCTTTAGCCGTGTTGCTGGAGGCCTGTCAGCAGCACAGATTTTGGACATCTCCCTTATCATACACACTTGATTCAACTCATCAACCTGTTAGTAGAGATTCCCACATCCAAAATGTGTACTGTGTTTAGGAGCCTCCAGGGACAGGCTTGGGCACCACTGTCACAGTGTGTTAAAACATCTGAAAGAACCTTAGCATGCTATTAAGGATTGCACTAAGCAGAATCATCTATCAGAAAGCTCTTGCACAGTTTAAAGAGTGGTGAAAGTAACCCTGCATTGTGACAAACTATTTGTTGTTTAAAGCAGGAATGTAGGAACAATGTGTCAAGACTTAATTGAAAGAGGCACTTACTTATGGACTTCTCCTTTATGGATCCCAAAGAGGTGCGTCTTTGAAGGCAAAATGGGTCCAGACTCTGGAAATCTAAGGGGGAAGGGGGGGAGCTTAGCTGCTGAGGCTCCAAAGAGTTCCTGTTCTCAGGTTCATATGTAGGGGATAGAGGCAGAAACAAGTCTCGAGAACTGAGACCCTTAACTCCTGGTTCAGGTTTTTCATAAACTGTTTCAGGTAAAACAGTAACGGGTGTCCACATCTGATCCTGAACCCCTTCCACATTATTGGTATACTGGGTCAAATAATTGTCCAGTGTTGTGTCTGTACTCCCATTCTCGACAAAATCAGATGGACCATTTCCATTGCATCTGACAGGCTTGGAGCAAAGAGAGGAACTACAATTTTCCAGTGTGTGTGATTGGAAACCATTAACGCTTGGCTGTTGAATGTCAATGAAGGCCAATGTCTCTTGCTGACACACAGCAATGTGTTGATGCTGTCGCAGGAGAGGCCTGCCTTCCCTAGAGTCACTCAGAGCCTGGGTCTCAACAGAGTCTGGGAACCACATGTCAGAGCTCTCGCCTCTGCAATGGAACGCTTGGAGGTGAGGCTGGAAATCAAGGACAGGAGAGAATCCATAGCCGGGGAGCATGGCTCAGGAGGCACATGGGTACTGCGCAGAAATTAGGAAAGAAAAACAGACAGAAAAAAATGTAAGATATTATAACTTGCATAACTATCACCCACATAACTATTGTCTTGACAGACGCTGCATCTCCAAATTTGAGCACAGTGGAGTAGATCCCTCTGGCCAATGTTTTTGTTGTGCCAGCACAGATTTATGCACAGTAAAGCTTGGCTCCTCTCTGCAGTTCTTAGTGGATTTGTTGTTCCACTGGGTAAAGTTAAGTCTCTCTGAACAGGCTCTGCTCTTCCCCTGTGGCAGACTTGGCTCAGTCGCTGCTGCTGCATCTTCCTGTTCTAATTAAAGAGCGCAGCATGCCGCCCTAATCCTCTATACTTGTCTACATAATTTACAGCTGGATTCCTTATTCAAAACTGCTTCTGTAATGCAGCTTCTGCATGAAGGTATCAAGGCAGTCATACGAGGACACTCCATTCTCTCCAACTATGATAATGGGCAAGTGTCTAGTCTTGCTAGCAGCTTATACCTGAGATGGAATGCTTCACGAAAAGGACCCTGACTGAGAAGGTCATCTTGGAAGAGTTTTTTCATACATATTTCCAAACAGCTCTCTATTTACCCAAACCATCTAGGTCATGGGAGAAGCAACGCTTATTAGTATTCAGTGTCTTGCCCTGAGGGACAGGCAAGCCTGAGATAGCTTGAGCTATGACATTTCCTAGGCTATTAAAGCAATGAAGGCTGAGCAAACTGTCAGTGCTGATGACCCACATCTGCCTTATTCACTGACCCATGAAATAAAGAAAGATGTTTTCTAAACTTGGAGGTGAAATGCACCAGAGGATGCTAGTTGGGCTGCCCCTAGGTGCCTTAAACTCTACCTTACATGCAATTTAGGTGTCTGTATGTTATCAACCAACAAATATAATGTAAAACAAAATAAATCATTGTTTAATGTGATAGTTTTGAAACTAACTATTGCTAATCTTTAAACCCTCAAACAACATCTGTACATCTATTTCTTTCTTTTTGAGAGGACACAAAAGAACCTGAGTCTCCCCCATCTCAAGTTTCTCTTTTAAAGCTGAATGTACACACAGCTAAATCCAACTGCATGATTCAACATGATCCACAAGCAAAAACACAATCTGACCCTCTACTGATAAAAACTATACCCACATCTGTACAACAAACACACTGCACAAATGGTTACCTGTTCCCTACTCTAAACAAAGGTCCCTTTATTTCGCCAGAGAATGCTGTTAGGTGCAAAGGAGATGTGAGATTTAAGGAATGAATCTGGATTCTTTACATGCACACAGAAATAAAAGTCAATTGGTCAGTTGTTATTCTTCGTTTAATGTCTTTGTAATCTTTAATCATAATATAATTACTTTATTTCTTCCTCTGAAATTACTTTTCTTTTCTGCTCATGTACAGTGGGGAAAAAAAGTATTTAGTCAGCCACCTATTGTGCAAGTTCTCCCACTTAAAAAGATGAGAGAGGCCTGTAATTTTCATCATAGGTATACCTCAACTATGAGAGACAAAATGAGAAAAAAAATCCAGAAAATGTGTGTGCTATTAGATAATGTAAGCCAAAAGCCAAAGAGATTTAACAAACTTTAACAAACTCACATTTGCCATATGGTCTTTCTTGCTACCTATTCCATGTCACTTAGAAGTATGTCAAATCATGCATGCAAAACTTGGGAACTGTGGAAAAATATAAATGTAAAACTCTTTACACAAATTAAATGTACTGTACAAATAGTAGGAGTAATTTTGTGAATGCTGTGCATAGCTATTACTATAACATAAATTCAATAATACACTGCATTACAGCCCATTACAATACAGCTATTCCATACATTCAGTTTGATGTCTTACCCATTTTACAATATTTAGTTAAATCCACCATGTAATTTTCCATGTTCTCAACATATTATTTCCTTATGTTTTGGTCTTTGTTGTATACATTCTCCTTGTAATTTTGGAGGGTTCCTGTAAGTCAGGGCGTCAACAAAGTAAATGAATAGAAAACTACCATCTTCATTGTAGCTACAGTATATGATTAAAGAAAACAATGCTGCAAAAGCCAATGGAGGCTGTTAGGAACCACATGAATCCACAAATATAACTAAAACATTCAGCAATGTCAACAATAACAATGAGGGCAAATTTAGTATTTGAAATTAAGCAAAATATATATTTTTTCATAGCGTATAGCTGTCACTAAGTCACATTAAGCCCTAGTGTAAAATAAATTTTTATAAATGCCAGGTTCTGTCATGAAACTCTAGATGGCTCAGGCAGATGGGTCGTTAATGCAAACTGATGATATTCACAGCCTTAAACTACTTGGCACAAGCTGATTGGTTCATGTTGCATACACAGCTAATAAGCTTGCTGCTTTACAATTAAATGGCTGGTTCGCATCCACTAGAGGAAACCCTCCACCTTCCCCAGCTCCACCTGTATAGATCTGTTACGGGTTATTTTATATGTTATTTGTGTGGCAGCAGTATGTCTTAAATACTCACAGCACCATATCGTGTGTTGGCAGCAGCAAGTTCCTATACTTACTGTGCAGCAGCAGCAGCAATAATCTACAACAACAGCAACAACCAACAGCAGAAGCAATTCAGCAGCGTAGCAGATCTATTCCACCAAGACTAATTCCGCAAATACACTAACATTGTCATATCCATTACCATGCTAAAATCTTCAGAGATGTCATGATAGAAATAACTATACACAATTTTTAAAGTCACAGTGAAAGCACCAAAATGACCACAAATAGCCTTTCCCCTCTTAATTTCTAGAATTTTTTGCTCGTTTGAGCACAGGGTCTAACAGTGTGGTGTCATGGGCTAATGTTTGTATGTTACATTGCACCGCTGGTCTAATTGGCCTGTGACAGAGAGCTCAGATTCAGGATACATCATGGCATCTGCCTTTCACACTCACAGTTCAGCTCATTTTCAGCTGCTGCAACTTGATGGCAATATGCAGGGGGTAACAAAACAAAAGACAGACATAATTAGTCAAATATTAAAGGGATAGTTCACTGAAAAATTCATATTCTGGCTTTATTCAAAACATTCAGGTTTTTATCATTTTGATCAACAGTTTGGTCGTTTCAAACCTGAATGTTTTGATGATGGATTGTAGTTTGGAAAAGTATGGAAAAAAAACTGTGTAGCAGTCATTCAAAAAGTCTCCATGGGAAAAAAAAAACAGAATACAGATTTAGCACAATATAAGTAAATGATGACAGAATTTTCTTTTTTAACTGAACTATACCTTTAATAGTTTCCTGGCATGATGTGGCCTTAAAATATACAGCACGTTTATTGTAAAAGGTTAATACATAACTTTTAAAGCTATACAGACTGTGAACCTAATTTTAAGCAACTGTTTGCTGCCCTAAGACTGTCTAATTTGACTGTTCACTTTTCTTTAAATAGCATTATGATTTACTTTATAATGGACACCTAATTTGTAAAAGTATTTTTCTAGAAAAAAAATGGTAGAGATTATCATATCATTGCAGATTATATATAGGAGCATTTAAATTCTGATGGGGTGAGTGAGGACATCTTGAGGTGAAGAAAACTTCTTTGTTTATGTTTGGTGTGGGGTCTGATCCCTCAAAGTGCCTGAGGCCTTCCTCCACCTACTCCATCAAGACAGACACCGAAATCCCTTTTCACATTCACAAAGCATTGACGTTGCCCTCAATCCTCTCAACTCCAAACACAACAGAGAGAGAAGCCCATAGGTGTAACAATACCTGGTTTAAGGTATTATTATAACAAGCTGAGCTTCTTTAGACTACCTTGAACCCCACGGTCTCATCTTAAAGAAAAATGTTACCACATCTTTAGGACATCTGTGCACTCACCTTCTTTCAACATTAACACCTCCCATACTAGACACACCCAGTCAAATACAGGAGCATTAGGCACACAAGCACAAGCGCTGAATGTGGAAACAATTATTACATTGATTTTAAGTTTTTTTTTTTACATTTAACATTGTTCTGATTGAACAATCCATCTGTAGGATATTTAAGAAAGTACCGCACTGCTTCACATTAAAGTCCCGCCTAGGTTTGGTTAGGCACTTGCTTAGTCTCTCACTTAAATTTAAGAGCTTTCAAATCTCTTTGAAGGTTTAATTGTAGACACTTATGTTTTTTATTGCAAGCATTACTTGTTAATGTTCATTTAATAGAAAACAAGTTGCAACAGGGACTTTACATTAATTTATTGATCTACAAATCAACAAATAACCCAAAAAGCATCAACAAGGAAAAAAGGAGAAAAAAAGTATTTCTAAGAGAGAAAATCAAAGCAAATTTCATAAATAAAAGTGCTTAAAATCAAGTAAAATCAAACTGCCCCAAATGAATGCATGTTCTTTGTGTTATTGTGAGCAATTCCTTAGTGCATGTTATTACAAAGACAAAATAGTTTGTCTTCTTAATCTTTAAATCAGAACATAATAACTGAAATTATTTTGCTTGTCCATCCACGTTACTTACTGGATGTTAAACAATAGCTAAATAAGTATTTAGGCATTGTTTTAGCTAACTCACATTAGGTCTGTCTCGATTCTGCTGCGTAACATTTACTTTTGGAGATCCAATCAATTCCCAATAGATAAAATCAAGTCCCGCCCCTACAGTTTACACTTGGAAATACATCAGATTATGAAAGTAAAATGGGTTGCAAACATCTCTTTGTCAGGTCACGGTATCATGATTTACAATTAAAATTGACATGACACTCACTAGCCCTGTTGATGTTTGTAAGATTTATACAGCTCAATCAGTTCTTTAACATACTGTTAAATTTGTCACATTGAAAAGATTACCTATTTTCACTGCTCCATTTACGTCACACTCATTCACACTCAACTTTCTGTTTTCTTTCACTCACTGCTCAGGAGTTGAACTGAGCTAGGCAAATGCTCCCCCTCCCTCTGCTTTATTATGGACAGGTAAAGACTAGTCACTCAGA